TCAATGTCTGGTTATGCCACTTATCAACTATATACACCTACAAAAAAGTCTTAGAGCCTTATCTACAAAATGAGAAAGATAATGCTTACGGGCTGTGGGGGTTGCTCAGTGGTAGAGTATGCACCTTACATGACAAGGCCCTGGGTTCAATCCCCAGCACCAAATAAATAAATAAAGCCTATCTAAGGGGATCTTTAAAAGATAATTAGATAGTATATACAAATTAAATAGTTCCATAAATAGTAGTAATTATATAAGTATTACTGTAAGCAAGACCTTATTTTATACATATACTGGGTACTTGCTGTTTTCTGATTTTTTAAAAAATATAAGACTTCAGAAAGCTCCCTGACTTAAGAGGTTATTTCTAATGCTCTAGGCATTACATTGATCTCTTTCTTCATGAGTGCTGAGTGTCATAAGGCTTGTTCTGGAGTGGGGTTTAAGGACTGTCGCATGAAGATCCTCTCTCCAGTCTTGATTCATTCACTACAGTCAATATTGCTCCAATTTCTATTAAGTAAAAGGTTTTCTCTAATCCATATACACTGAACTATGCTTGACATTGGTGAGATACAAGAGAGTAATTGCTTTGAGAAGATTCTAGTAACATCAAAACACAAGGGTAGGGCTAAGTGATTTGCCAGGCAGCTTTTAAAATTATTCATTATAAAAGCAAGAAGGAAAAAGAGATTTGCTTTGGTTTAAGGCAAGGCTTTGACTAATTTTTTGAACTACAATTCCCAGAATGCCACCTACCTTATAGAAATGAAGTCTACTTGAATTTCAAATTGTGTATGTTATGAACTCAAATATGAGCAAAAATACATCTAGGAAAGATTTCTAAGACTAATGTGAGGCAGAGAGAGGAATCAATAACTAAAGTATCCCTGAGTAACATTTTTGAAGTATTATTTACTCAACTGCCTCAGGTCTGTTTTCCTTTACATTGTGAAACTGGTCCTCATATGTTCAATGAATGAACTATGTTCTGACAATTACAGAGTTATAACCCATTTCTAATTATGCCCCAAGGTTATAGTCTATCACTCACCATTTCCAAGGCAAGTCAATCTGAGCAAAACAGCATTTTGTTAAAGGAACTCTGAATCAAAATACTAAAAATCTAACCATAATTTTGATTTTTTTGTAAGCATTATTCTTTATTACTTAAAATATATTTAGTAGTATTTAAATTGCCTTTTGGTTAAAAAAAAAAAGAAAACAGGGTTAAAGTCAGGTCCCTCAGCATCAGGAAAAAAGAAGGAAAAACTGAAAAATTGGGAGAGAAGAAGGTCACTTAATGGATTCTTGCCTTTTTGTTTGTTTGTTTTTTACCTTAAAAGTACAGACAAGGACACTTTGTACAAGGCAAAAGATTTTTCCTTTCTGATGTCCTCATTTCTGTAAATAAAACTATACCATTTACTATCTAAGAGACTCTGAATGTCTTAGTTTAGAGCCATGATAAAAACATGGCTTAGGACCGAGTGAGAATGCCTCAGCTTTCTGCTCCAATACTCACTAAATGCATGAACGGGTAATAATATAACTTCTTGACACTCATTTACAACCTCAAGGTGTGATCATTACAGTATCTACCTATCAGGGCTGCCATAGGATTTAAATGAGGTAATACATGAAAAGAGTTTTGCACAGTGATGGGCTTATGTTTAGCATTTTGAAATGCCAGCTATTGTTATTAAATTTACTCTGACTTCTCTTGTTCCTAATATCCATATCTAAGCTGAACCAAGCTCTATCAATTATTCATATACCTTTCAATTAAAATATTGTTTAAAAAATACCAAAACCCTGAGCTGGGCACGGTGGCACACACCTGTAATCCCAGTGTCTTGGGAGACTGAGATAGTTCAAAGCCAGCCTCAGCAATGGCAAGGCGCTTAGCACCTCAGTGAGACCCTGTCTCTAAATAAAATATAAAATAGGGTTGGGGATGTGGCTCAGTGGTTGGTGCCCCTGAGTTCAATCCCTGGTACAAAAAAAAAAAAAAAAACCCAAAAAACCTGAGAACATCCCATGTCCCATGTGTGATCAGATAATTATACCATGGCACCTCTAGATACTGAAATACTGAGTAGCATGAAAAAATTACATATAAATTACATCTACAAATATACGAAAATACTCAATACTTATAACATTTAGTTGAATGAAATAAACCGATGCCAAAGAGTGTCTGAATTGATCTCTTGTGGCTAAAAACATGCTGACAAGTCATCAGGAAAAGTAGCTGAAATCTATAAAAAGAATTTTATAACCTGTCAGAGTGGCAAAAGTTAGAAAGACTAGGTAACTGTGAGGACTGAAGACTCGCAGATACTGTGAGGAAATTCTTGTACATCTACCCAAAGAGACACAAGGATGTGTACAGAATATTATGTTAAATAAGAAAACTGAAAACAACCTAAATTCTCTTCAATGGGTAAGGGTCAGTTGTATGTGCACACAGCAAAACTTATTCAGAAGTTTCAAAATGAATGACCACAGTCCTCAGCTAAAAAAGATAATGATAAAATGTTAAGACAACGATGCTGACTGAACAAACAGGGAGAAAAATACAATACAATACAAATATATCTATTGATTATAGATTGTCTATGAAAGAAATGAATAGAATATTGAAAGAACAGTGCAAACCCACACAAATGCATTTTGGGTTATCTCTGAGGAGGAAGATAGGGGAATGGATTTGAGAAGGGGTAAAGGAAACTATCTGTAATGTTTTATGACTTGAAGAATTTAAACAAATATGGCAATCAGGGTTACGTCATCTTTTCCCCTGTATTTTTCTGTAGGCTAGAAGTTTCTCATAATTACAAAAATTGATATTAGTAACAAAACAAGTCCTCCATTAGAGCACTCTGCCCTTAGACCAGCTATTTCATCTCCGTTGGCCTCACTTTTCCTCTCTGGAAAATGATGCTCTCAGCACCTTCCCTGCAAGGTCACAGTGAAGAGCTGAGTGAAACTACAGATGGGCCTTCAAAAGGTGGCATCATTATTGTGACAGTCTCATTACCCTCTGATAGCTGCCCATTGAGTCTTTATTCTTCAATTTAAGATGCAGCAGCATGTAGAATAACTGCCTTGACCACTGCTTCATCTCACCGCCCTCCCTAAGAACCTGTCCTCTTTTCTCCTGGCTGACCCAATCCAGTCCCAATCAAGCGTTCTGTCTCACCAAAATCATCCTGGAACACCTCTGTGGCATCATTTTTCCCTTCCTGTGTATCTGGAGATCCTCTAAGATGCATATGAGATTCATTTAACTTGATATCCCCAGTAAAAGGAAGAGGAGGGGAAGTAAAAAAGGAAGAAAATGACTTAGGAGCATCCAATTTTGGCTCCCACTGGAGTCCTTACCATGACTGTATCCCTAGGACAAATCCTTTGAGTTCTCTGGTGTGGAGTAGTTACACTCAATGACCTGTAAATGTGTCTTGCAGTTAGAGGTGCTTTTTAAAGCCCCTATTTTCAGATTCCTACTCAAACAATTTTCCCATGCAAATTAGGTGTAACCCCCATAGACTCCCTAATGTGCCACAAACATGTCATTCTAATTGTGAACTTCTATCCAAATCTTGATTTCAAAATGATGCCCAAGTTCTAGGCCTTTTAATCAACTTTACTTAACATATTTGACACCTCATTTAAAAACAAAATCAATATAGACCTGGAGTTGTGGTTCAGTGGTAGAGTGCTTGCCTAGCATGTGTGAGGCACTGGGTTCAATTCTCAGCACCACATATTTAAAATAAAGGTCCATTGATAACTAAAAAAAATTTTAAAAAATCAATGTAATATGATTTACAAAGAGCTATTCACTGTTCTCAACACTTTGCATATATTATTTTAGCTTCATAACTCTGCAACTATTGTTATTATGCCCTTTTTACTGATGAGGAAATTGAGGCACAAAAGGATTAAATGGACTTGACCAACACTGTATAGCCAGTAAGTGGCAGAACCAGTATTTGAACCTAAGTGGTCTGCTTTATATTCTATGAACTTGTCCACCACATTAAAACTCCTTATTTTTTTAAAATTTTTTAATTAGTTGCACATGACAATTCAATGATCTTTTTTTTTTTTTTTAAAGAGAGTGAAAGAGGAGAGAGAGAGAGAGAATTTTTAATATTTTTTTCTTAGTTCTTGGCGGACACAACATCTTCGTTTGTATGTGGTGCTGAGGATCGAACCCGGGCCGCACGCATGCCAGGAGATGGCGCTACCGCTTGAGCCACATCCCCAGCCCCAATACAATGATCTTGACATATCATACATTTGAATCAAATGGGTAAAACTCCTTTCTTAATAACTTCTTCTGTAATGAAGCTGTAATCATATAATTTACAGCTTCATTAAAATGGATTATTTTTATTCCCTTACATTTTTTTAGTAGCTCATAGCACATAGTTAAAACCCATAAGTACTGATTATTAGATGAAATCTGTATGTGATCATTCAGACCCCAGGAGATCAGCCTCTATTAGCTATGAAAAAAGGGGCCAGATAGGATTCTAACACCAATTATTTGTATTTTATTGACATTCATAGCAATCCTGTGAGACAAGCAGTCTAGATCAATTAACAGATGAGAACAAGTGGGTTGTAGAAATTAAGTAAACTTACTTCAAATGTGACACTAAACAGCACACTTAGACCAAATTAAGACCATTAGACTTCACATGCATACTTTTTTTATACCAGGATTTCTCTAAGGTGAGGTCATAGCAATGGAGACACTTGGAATATGGATAAAAAATAAGGAATATAAGAAATGCAAATGCCCTTTTAAAATACCCATTGTTTTAATTTAAAAAAGAAATCAATGTGACAAAACCCAAGGAGCCATGAGCCATGCTGTCCTTAGCTGCTTAGAGACCTGTCTCACATACATTACAAGGTGTGTGCCAGGTGAGCCTGTCCTTACTGGTACAGGATTATTTATGACTATATACAAGCCAACTCCTTACCTGTTATTCACATCATTATCCTGGACTGGGAGGTCTCCTTGGATGGCCATCTGAGCTACTTTTCTGCTTGCTTCCTCTTCTGTTTCACTCAAGCTTTCCCTCTGAGGACTGCCCTCTAGGCTGTCAGGCTCCACATCTACATCCTGGATTTGGTCCTCAAGTTCAGACTGGGACTCGAACTCTTGAGTGAGGCTTTCTGAATCTGATTCCAAGGAGTCTTCTGAAATCAGATTTAAGTCTTCTTTCTTACGTAGTGGGTTTGAGGACTGGACATTTAAATTGGTATGACCGACAGGAGATTGAATGGAAAGCTTGGGAATTAGTTTATTCTTATTCATTTTGAAAAATTAAGAAATCAACAGGAGATAGTCTTGATAGGAACAGCTGGCTGGTAAGTTCTGGTTTGCAAAATCGTTACCTAAAAAATTTATATTTATGTTACTCTATGACTACTGAAAACTCCTTAATGTCAATATTTATAAAAAATTTCAACAAGTAAGAGAACCTTGTTATATTATCTGCAGGCTTTTGTATGTAGCAATAGCTATTGGAAAAACAATTGTGTTTCCTCTCTTACAAAAACATCTGATTTAGAGCTCATAAACAGCCCAAGTAATCGAATGCTGTTTCACTGAGGAAATCAAATGGTTGCTTAAAAGCAGATTCCCTTTTCCAGCTTCCAAGGGCTTGCTACAGACAAGCCAGCACAAAGCCAATAGTTAATTATGGACAGTACCTTGATGGTACTTTATTTCATTATAGACAGTACCTTCTTTCAAATGGCCCAGGCATCAACTTATCCTGTTCAGCAGTATTCATGGGTAGAGTAAAACAGGTTCAGAGTCTACCTTTTGGAAAATACAGAAAGGAGAAAGAAAAGTATGGTTTCCATAGTTGGAGGGATGGTTTTGTTCCTAGATCTATTTTGGCCAGCTACATCATTTGGAAAAGACCATTTGATATCCTGGCTGCCACTAGAGGAGAAATATGTAATTTAGGTGCTTATAAGGAAATCAAACTCAGCTCAGTATTAAACAATATAATAATAATAATAATAATAATAACAATAACAACTATTCGACAAAATATTTGGGAGCCTTGCTGATCCTTCCATTGAGCCAACAAGCAGAGGCTGGAAGTCACCGATATGAAAGGGATGCTATCCTGGGGATGATAGTTGGGTGGGTGGGAGACTGAACTGAATGACTGCTAGGAATTAGTTGGAGCCCCATCTAGCTTGCCTAGAGTGTGATTCCAAGTGAACCCTCACTGTCTCAAAGAGCTCTTATGTGACCCATGAGATGGTTTATGGAAAGGGTGCTTTGAGTTCATATAGGATTGAAAGGAGATGATGTTTTTGGATTGTGCTTCCTTTCATCTTTATCTAGCATTTCTATTTTGGTTGATCCTGTATCTTACTGCCTTTATGCCATTTTTTTTTTCCTGTAAGTCACATAATAAAAATCTTCACCACTAGAGATTACTGTAAAATTTATTTTATTGGCTTGCTTATGTTCTTCTGGCAAATCCTAATTTTAATTAAATAACATAACCTTATCCACCTTATTCCTATTCTAGGGTTACTTATTATGTTGACTTTGTTGCTAAGGCTTCCATGGAACAGCAACTCCTTGGAGGAAAGTGTCTTAACAAACATAACAGACAAAAGATAACGTTCATATTTAAATACTCGTGAAGTAATTTTCTATTTAACTCAAAGTTCCCCCTGTTGGTAGACTAACATCATTGCCTAATTGTATAAACTAGTTTGCTATATAGTCTCTTACTTTAAAAATATATAGTTAATTCTGCCATATTATTTTAATAATGATAAGCAGATCGTTGCTTTGTAGGGTGTTTGTAAAAAGCACCAAATCCAGCAGATACTAATGTATTTAAAAGTTTGTTTTAAAAACATTGGTTTTACTGTAGAAGTTAAGATCACAGTATTGGGACCTCAAAGAACAAGCTTAAAATAATCCTTATAGTTCAATTTTAAATTGTGCTTTCATAAAATAATTCAGTTCTTTCTATTCTTAAGTGAGAGGCCAGGATTTCTTGTCATTAACAGTAATAAACTAACAAAAGCTGGGTGTTCTGGAGACCCGATCTTACAAAAGCACGGGATTATACAAAAGGAAAAGCTCACAACTTGAACAAATCAATAAGTGGGCGTTTGACATTTAATTGAATGTGGCTCTCTAATACCACGAAGTGAAAAACGTTGTGCCACTAAAATTTCTGACCAAGAGAGGGTGACTGGCCAGTCAAAATTCCTCTAAGTAAACCAGAAATAGGGGGACATATGCCCTGGTATCTAGGGACTAAGAAATGCCAACTGTCCAAGGGTTCCTTCACGGCCTGGGTCTAGTCCACTAGTTCTGGGACACACTAATTTCCTTCTACAGATGAATGACAAAGAAAAAGTTGCCCCAGTCTGGGGCAGGCCTGGAAACAGCCCAGAAGGGAAGTTTGGGTTTTCTCCCTGTGTCTGTTTCTGGGGAACACGACCAAAAACGCCACAGGGGGCGTTTGAAGGTCAGGTGCCCTGGCCGGCCTCCACTGGCCGAGGACAGGCTGCGGGGAGCCTCTCCGTGTTGTGACCCCCTGGTCTTTGGTTCCTGGTCCCCAGGCCCC